AAAACTCAAAAGGGCAGAACAGTTTCATGTGATTTAATCTAGCTAAAGGGGATAGCTGGGCCAAAGCCTGGGATGGGGAAGAAAAGTGAAGCAAAGGCTGACTTAGAACACTACAAGGAATGGGGTGTGATGAAGACAGTCAGAAGGGACCAACAACCTGTTCTCTGGGTAAGCTGGGTTCCTTTAGTTGGAGATTTCCTGCAAGGAGAATAGATTCCTATCCAGTAAAGGTGCTATATCTAAAGGATGGTCTATTTCAAAGAGATCTACTTCTTGTGCAGAGTATCAGTGTTCTTGAAACAAGGACATCTCACTTCTGGCTCCAGAATTTGCCAAAGTAAAGGGAGCTCATCAGTAACTGTTTCTTAAATTTACAGAGGACCTTTCTCCAATGAGCCTCAATGGCTTTTAGCCAGTGAAAATACTAAATTTTCTCTCACGACGTCCCTGCAAAGGAAGTAGAAAATGGAGAACTGAGGTGAACTTCACTTGCCAGAAGTTCCTCCAACAGCAGAATATAAAGACTGTAGCAGCTTTCTCTTTATTTCAACCCTCTAATATCACTAAGGGGTGACAAATGTGGCACCCATGCTGTCACTCACCCTGTGTATGCCCATGAGCCGTTACTGAAAACATGGCACTCTTTCCCACTGAACCCAGACTCAACTGCAGAATCCTTCTCAACACAATGCTCTAAGCAGCTACTACCAATAGATAGGTGAATGCATGGGGAAAGGACATACAAGGACACTCATGTGAGGACAAAACCCAGCAGAACAGAATGGGATAAGAATTTAATGCCTGGGACTTCCCTGGTGGTGCAGTGGATAAGACTCCACACCTCCAATGCAGGGGGTCCGGGTTCAATCCGTGGTCAGGGAACTAGATCCCACTGCATTCTGCAACTAAGAGTTTGTATGTCACAACTAAGGAGCCCATGTGCCGCACCTAAGGAGCCAGTGAGCCACATCTAAGGAGCCCACGTGCCACAACTAAGGAGATGCAAGCTGCAACTAAGATCTCACACAACAAAATAAACAAACAAACAAATAAATAAACGAATTTAACATTTTTTCCACTTGCTTTTGGTACAGGTTATGTCCTATGTTCAAGATATCAAATGTAGCTCATATATTAAACATTCTGTTACATTCTTCCCTAAAAGTACTTTGTTAATATGTATAAAGTAAGATACATTTTAAAGTATACATTCATATATGCATTGTATAGTTCTGTGGACCTTTGTACAACACTAACAAGGTATGGGTAGGTACACGTATGATGCCTGCCAAAGTTTCTGGGGTCACAAAGTAGACCTACTCACTATGAAAATTTAGGTTTTCCACATATAGGAATGAAATTCAAATTAATGTTAACTATAATAATAAAAATAAACGTTAATATTAACTCAGCACCTACTATGAGTCTGACCCTACATTAAATGCTTTAATTCTAATCCTCACAATAATCGTATGAGAAAAGAACTATTATTATTCCAATTTTATTGATGAGAAAACTGAGGCTTAGAGAGTTTAAGGTTACAGAATTATTGAGTGGAAGCAAGGTTGGAGAGTTCAAGCTCTAATCACTAAGCATACCTTCCTCCTAAAATTATCTTGATAAAATTATATTTAAAGGCTGTTTCCACATTGACAAAATGAGGCATAGTATATTTAAAATTTCAAAAGCCCTAGTATTTAAGTAAAAAGATGACAGCACCCTTCTTGGGTTCTCAAGGCTGTAAGGTGTAAACTTTGTCTTAGGTTCAATTTGTAGAAATGAAAAACACAGATCACACTTAACACCCAGGTCTCATCATTTTGTCCATTAAGGAAGCAAGCTCTTCTAACACAGATATTTGGAAAGGGGAGTATCCACACATAAATGAGGGCTTCTAGAGATTTACATGAGGAGGCTCTGGGATAGGAAAAACAAGTTCAAGTTCAGTTCAAGAAACAAGGACAAGGGCAAATCAGTGCGAGGAAGTGAAAGAAAGCCAGTGTGGCTAGAGTACAGAGAATCAATGTCACCTGGCAATGGTGGATGAGAATTTAAACGAAAATGACTCCAGAAGACCAAGTCTTTCAGCCAAGGTTGTACCGTAAGTTTATGCATTTAGTGCCCCTTCCCTGTCACCTCACAAGCTCCAAACAGCAAAAATACATAAAAATATAAACATGTAGGGTTTTTTTTTTTGATATGTCTGTGTGATTTGGAAAAAAACAAAACAAGATTCAATCTCATGGATAAGACACAAAATAGAAATGCAAAGGATACTGCAGACAGAGGCATCCAGGAGTCCTACTTCAGTGGGCTAATGAAGCTACAAATATCCCCAGGAAAAGGCTGGGATCTGAGCTAGCTTATTGCTGGAAATCAGAGAATGTGGAGGGGGAAGCCCCACACCATGATGAAAGGAGGCTTTAAAAATCTGCCTATCCAGATTGATGGTGGGATGCAGACAGTCTCACAACCAGGACCTGGCCATGCTGCACTCTGGCCTGGTGGTGGCTCTTATATACTCCTGGTTGATGTGGAACAGAGGCCCCAGCTGCAAATATCAGACTTGGCTCTGGGCTGGGGTCATCAGAGGTAGGAAGTAGGTCAGAGAAAATCACAGGTGAGTGCAGAGAAAGGACACAGGGAAAGCAGGCTCAAGATGGCGCCCTAAACTATAATTCCAAAGTATGTGAGGAAAACTAGCATTAAGGAAGATGGCCAATAAACTTAACATCAGACTTATCTCCTCCAGATGGAATGAACCTAAAAATGACTTTAATCTGGAGCTTTAAAAACAAGTAGGTTTTTGCACAGATTATCTTCATTGGTTATATTTGAACATTCCTCAAATTAAATAAATCATATAAATCTTGAAGTTTTAAATGGTGAACTTGTACCTTCCAGCAAAGTCACTGGAAACACAGCATGGTCGCTACATTTAGCATCCAAGAGACCCCTGGATATGGCTGTGTTCCCTAAGAACCATGAAGTAAGAACTTCCAAGGTCCCTGTACCTCTGTGGCACGTTCAGAAACTAAAAGACAGTCTTGGGACAGTGTGTGATGTGGGATGGACATGGACTGCCGAGGTAGACAACACAGAGGGAAAAGCTGAGCCAGTCCTGCGACCGAACACCTTTCTTTGACAGAAGGATGGGAAAGTAGATTGAATAAGAAAATGGTTCCTGAAAATTAAAGTTGGCTTTATAACTAGACTCAGGCTAAAGCTGGAATGAACTTATTAAAGTCTCCATCTTCTCTGGCACAGAGGGAAAATAAGTGTTTATGTGTATAAAGCAACATTACATGCAAATTAAAGTGAGAGATCCTAAATATAAAAGATGACCAATTGACGAATGAACGGCTGAGTGACCAACCCATTCTAAGTCAGAAAAAAGGTGAGGCCTCAAGCACATTCCTCTTACTCTTTATGATGTAACCTCAAAAATAAAAGCTCTGTGAAAACCAACTCAATCAATTTCAAATAACACATCAAAAGTTTCTATGGTATTCAGCCCTAGAATTTCATTCATTGCACTGCTCCAGTTGCTATGGTGCTATAAGCACTGGCTGTTGGAATGAATCATGTGTTCTCCCTTTATCCAAGGAGGACATGGCAATAGGTGCTACTAAGTGCAAAGGACTGGGGGAAGATCACATACTCGGCTCTAATCCCAACCAGATTTTTGGCTTAGGGAGAGAAACACCCCCGTGGAAAGCTGACAAAGTGGGTGAGATTAGCTACCCTCATGAAACTAGAACCCCCACGGAGCCATGATACGTTAGCCAAGGAGTAACCTTAGTCATTTTTTTTTAATCCCAGAAGGAAGTGATAACAGTGATGAAAAAATTGTTCTTCCCAACCCCTCAGGGGAGATCTTGGAGAGGTCCCCAAACGCCCCTATGGCAAAATCTAATTTGTCTAGAATTATAGATCCTAATGCCATGAAGCAGTATTGAGAGGTGGCAAGCTCCCTGTCCCAGGCAACGTTGGAAGCGGAAGACCCGTGGTGATGCGTCATAAATGTGTGGACTTGCCTGAGGTGGGAGGCTGCTTGACTGTTGCTTCCAATCTGGAACCAAGGACTCAGAGCCAATTTAGGCCAGTGCATCCCATGGAGTAAAGGCAATGCCAACACAGCCAGCAGACACTGAAAAGCCTCCGAGACCACTTCGGTTGTAAACCCACAGCTTTTGGGCAGCCCACTCTCTTTTGACTTAACTGAAGGTTAAAGAATTATAATAACTAATGTGCATTTACTGCCATGGATCTAAAACCAGCAAATTCTGCTAACAGAGATTTTTTTAGAAAGGAAATCAAGGAGCAACATATAATTAGCTGAGAGTTATTTAGGAGTTAATTATTCAGTCCTTTGTTTCACTTCCTTCTTCTTCCTACTTGATTCCTTTTGACCACTTCTCTGTTGACTTGCTTCCCTTGCCCGTTAGAGAAGTAAAGCAGGTGAGACCCAAAGTTATAACGGGGCATTCTGTGGTTGGAAGCTGTCATAAAAGGTTTGGTAAAGTGAAGGAAGAAGAGGGCGTGAGGATATTATAATCACTGAAAAAGTGATTGTTAGCTTTTTTGTTTTGGTTAGTAGGGTATAAAGGAAAGTGTGGGCTCTGGACTCAAACAGAATGAGCTTTGGTTTCTTGTTTCTGCCACTTAATAGACTAGCTATGTGTCCTTGGGCAGATAACTCAGTTGGTCTGACTCAGCTTCCTCACAGAGAAAACAGGAATATCAATATCTGTGCTGGAGGACAGTTGCAGCGATTGAGTAAAATAATCCAAAGAGACAAATATATTTCTTCCCATCCAGTAGGCTCTCGAGCTGCATTATTAAAATTATCTAAAATTTACTCTTCTTAGATAATTAAGATATGACTAAAAGCAAATGCTCTTAAACTGAGAAGTAGGAGTTCCCAAGTAAATGTACAGATTTTAATCTGCAAACTTCTTGATTTAAATTTGCATCTTAATATTTGCATTAAACTTTACCTGTCGACTTCCCTGCTTGGAAGAGCAACTACTTGTGCTCCTTGAAGGTGAGGCCAATTTGGGGGACACCCCAAGGCTCTTCTCATCACTCATCATGAACGGCAGGTCCTTGGCCTTGATGTAGTCAAAATGCCATAGAAGACAGTGGAGCACAGAGTATGGCAGTCCAACACAAGCAGGTGGCTCAGCTTTTATCCAATATGTTTTAAAAGCATTTTGGATGACCCAGAGGAAATCCCTAAAACAAAAAGAAAAGAATTAGAGAGAAGGTACAAGGCATCAGATATCATCTATAATTAGCACTGATTGCCCACAAGTGGTTTATCTACACTACAGATTACAGAGCCACGATGGTTACTCACATCAGGGGCTGTGAAGGAAAAGACGCATTATACCTATCTCTTATTGGAAATTACGTATAGGCGGTTTTTCGTGTAACTTTGCAATATAATAGGCTTAAGAACGTGAGTAAGAAAATTTGAGTCCAGACACATACAAAATCTGTACTATAAAAACCATCCCAAACCACGAGATACCACTTCATACCAACCCTGATAGATACAATCAAAAAACTGAAAAATGACAAGTGTTGGAAGAAACTGCAACCTTTAGGCATTGCCGCTAGGAATGCAAAATGGTGTAGCCGAAGTTGAAAACAGTTTGGCAGTTTTTAAAAAGTTAAACATAGAATTATCGTATGATTCAGCAACTCCACTCCAAGGTATATACCCGAAAGAACTGAAAACAAGTATTCTAACAAAAACTTGTACAAGAATGTTCACCACAATGCTATTTATTCACAACAGTCAAAGGTAGAAACAACCCAAATGTCCATCCACTGATGCATGGATAAACTACATATGGTATATATGCTATGGTCTGGATGTTTACACCTCCCCGCTAACTGCCACCTCCACCCAGATTCATATGTTGAAATCCTAATGCCCAATGAGATAGTATTAGGAGGTGGGGCCTTTGGGAGGTGTTAGGTCCTGAGGGCAGAGCCCTCATGAATGGCGTTACTGCCCTTATGAAAGAGACCCCAGAGCTTCCTGGCCCCTCCCACCATGGGAGGGTACTGTGATAAGCCTGCCACCCGAAGAGGGCCCTCTGACCATGCTGGCATACTCATCTTGGACTTCTAGCCTCCAGCACTGTGAGGAATAAATTTCTGTTGCTTATAAGCCACCCAGACTGTGATATTTTGTTATAGCAGCCCAAACAGACTAAAACAGCACATTCACACAGTGGATTATTATTCACTTCTGTTATACATGCTATAACATAAATGAACCTTGAAAACATTGTGCTAAATGAAAGAAGCCAGACACAAAAAAAACCACATAATGTATGTTTCTATTTATATGAAATATCCAGAGTGGGCAAATCCATTAGAGACAGAAGGCCAATTAGTGGTTGCCAGGGGCTGGGGGATTTGAGGAATGGAGTCTAGCTATGGGGTTTCCTTTAATGGTGATTAAAATGTTCTGGAACTAGATAATGGTGATGGTTGTACAGCATTGTGAAAGTACTAAATGTCACTGAATTGTACACTTGAAAGTGGTTAAAAAGTTAATTTTATGTTATGCATTTTACTAATTAATTTTTTAAAAATCCCTTTCTGGTTTCTTGGGGGATAGAGGTGGGTAATTTGTTCTACCAAAGGTTTCTGGAGACATCTTATAAAAAAAAAACTATAACATGATGTGACAAAAACTATGGGGGAAAGCAGAATTTTCCATACCATCTATTAGCATATTAGTAATTAAATCAATGATCATTTGTTGAGTCCATACTACTTACTGCCAAGCACTATATATTTCCCACACACAGTGTCTCATTTAATCAAAGTCTGATGGGATGGGTATTATCTGCATTTCACAGAGGAAAAAGCCAAGTTTCTGAGAAGTTAAGTCAGTTGCCTAGTCATGAAGCTGGCGAGAGACTGAATCCAGGCTAGGTCCCAGGCCTTTAAGCTTGGTGCTGGAAATGAGCATGCCTTGATGGCCAGGTCTGGTGATAACAGCTACTGCCCCATCTTTGGGACCTAAGAGAACTCAGGAGCTGAACTAGGAAGACTCAGGAGGGAGCACATCATAAGCCAGCTTTGAAGAGGCAATGCCGCATTCTCTCTACAGCACAGTATGGATTTCCAAGATGGCGAGGATCTCTGGTGGGGAAGGGGATTGACCAGGGCATTGGCAGAGACCCCTTTATGAAACTGAGTCTCTCTGCTGACTTTATGATTAACCTCTCTATCCAAAACTTTATTCCCTTTCTTGTTTTTCAGCTGTGCCTCCTCAGCAGTGAGGAGCATCAAAGTGACAAAGCAAGAGCCTATGGAGCCTTCTCAGGACAGACCCCACTCCCCATGTCCTCTGCCTGCCTCTTGTTTATACCGAAAAGCTTAGTCTCCCAGGCCTCCCCTGAGTATCAAAAGGCTGGCTCAAGAGTTAGTGATTAGGAAATGTGAAGACGTAGAAACAAAGAATAGCTGCTGTGACAGGAAACTGGTAACAATTTAGACCATAAATCAGCAGTCGCTGAACTCCCGGCTCCTTGAAAGATACAAAGGCCTGACACACATTCCTGAGTTGTTTCTACAGGAAGCAGGCCCTCACCAGATGAAAACTGCTGACCTCAAGCACGGAGACCCCAGGCCAGTTGAAACTGGAAGATGGACGATGCTCAAAACTTCACCTTGATGCCAACCAATCCGAGGATTCTGCACGAGCTGCTCATGCACGCTGCAGCCCCGTCACTCACACTGTCTTTAAGACCTTTGTCTCCTAACTGGCGACTTGGAGATGGTCTTAAGACATTAGTCCACCACCTTCCCAGATTGCCAGCCTCCTGAATAAAGCAACTTTTCCTTTTCCACCAACACTTATCTCTTGAGTACTGGCCTTTCGAGCAGCGAGCAGCCGAACTTGGTACCTGCCTCATCTGGTTACATTTACAAGTAGTTGGCTGGGCTGCCACCCCTGTAGCTCTTTAGGGGTGAACCACTTCCTTTACCCACAGCCCTGAGTTAAGGGTGACTAACGTGTTTAGGTTTTGCCTTCAGACTTTTATTTGACACACTAAGTAAATGCTACAACTTTCCCAAGCATGTTAACAACAATAAAAAAAAAAGTTTTATATCTAATTCATTTGGTTCTCAGTGTTCACATAGTCTAATTTTAAAAGAAGGATGTTATACAGCTGTCCAGGGACCAGCTAGTTAAATAGTATATCAAACTTTTGGTTAATTATTAAGTACTCAAGTCTCCTATGCCTTTCACTAACACTTCTTAAATAATGAGCATGCTAAGGCCATGAACTAAAACCAAGACAATGCAGAGAAATAACAAAATCTCAGAAAATAAAATTAAGGTACCTGTAGGCATAGAACTCAATTCCCATGTTGCTTTCTATAGAACCACCCCCCCTCCGCCACACTCACACACAAATCTCTGTATTCAGAGTACTGAATCCAACAATAAATAAGACTAAAAGCAAACCAACACCAGCATCTTCGTAAAGTTAGCTTTACTTATGAGGCATGACTAATTGTACCTGAAATTAGAAGCAAATGCATTCTAGTTAAAAACTGCCGAGAGGCTGTTAAGCTATATTCAGTTTGTTTAATAGCAGTGTTGGCGGTTGCTGTTTAAGAAAGAGAAAAAAAGAAACACTTGATGGAAACCCCAAATGATGAAATGTCTGTGGGGACAGCCATTGCTATGACAATCGGTTCCACAGTGAATGAGGAATAACAACAAAGGGAGTCTGCTTGTGTGTGGAAGGTTTTTGTTTTGTTTTGTTTCAAGGCTGAGATTCTGATCATGAGAGCATGGGTTGAGAGGTGGTGTATGACATGTGCAGAAGGGACAAAAAAAGAGCATTTGGGCCATAGAGTAAGAGTCACGGGAATTCTGAAACTGTGTCAGAACAGAAACACCATAATCCTCTCCTAGAGGCAGTTGATTAAAAGAATGATCGTCATCTTTTAACCCTGCCAAATTTCACTTCACAGGCAACAGGCAGGAAGGCCAGGGCTGTGAATAGGCTAAATCCCATACTCATTTAAATTGGTACTTTGAGCCATTGCTATGACAATCGGTTCCACAGTGAATGAGGAATAACAACAAAGGGAGTCTGCTTGTGTGTGGAAGGTTTTTGTTTTGTTTTGTTTCAAGGCTGAGATTCTGATCATGAGAGCATGGGTTGAGAGGTGGTGTATGACATGTGCAGAAGGGACAAAAAAAGAGCATTTGGGCCATAGAGTAAGAGTCACGGGAATTCTGAAACTGTGTCAGAACAGAAACACCATAATCCTCTCCTAGAGGCAGTTGATTAAAAGAATGATCGTCATCTTTTAACCCTGCCAAATTTCACTTCACAGGCAACAGGCAGGAAGGCCAGGGCTGTGAATAGGCTAAATCCCATACTCATTTAAATTGGTACTTTGAGTTAAGGCCTCTGAAGGTACCACCTGCTGTGACCCTCAACACTGTCTCTTCTTCTTCTTCTGGGAAAAGAAAGGGTGAGAATCTACAGCCCTTCCCACAACCATCACCAGATGAGTTTAAGATTATGCCTAGGGAAATATATCTCTTTCATCCCCCAGAACCTTCCTGCCTAGCTTCATCAGAAATTCAGTCAAAATTACCAGGGGCAGCTTAAAGGGCAAAAGAATTCAAATTCTAGGGAAAGGATATGCTTAAAACAGGGCAGAATAAAGAATGACGGCAGCAGTAGCCCAAGACTAAGGTACTGGAGAGGTAAGGCAGTCACTTGGAATGAGGCATCTATTGTGTTCAACCTAGGGGACCCTGCAGGCTGGCCTGGGGGCGTCACCACAGGAAAGACCTTGACGGGAGTCCTCAGAGGACCCTGACAAAGGGGAGTCACATGGAAGTCTGGTGTTGTCTACTCCGATTAGCTGACTAAGTAAAATGGCAAAGAGAAAGCCCTGCAGGGAGACAGACTCTAGCCAGGGGCCAGGCCATGGATCCAGGGGTGTAGTAGATCATAAAGCAGGTACACATGAAAGACCCTTGGTGCTTTCACCCCTCCCAGTGACCCTTCCATGGACAACCTCTAACTCGAGAGGATTACTGCTTTGAACAAAATACAACAGTTTCCCTGCTCACAGGCTGAAAAACCTAAGGTCAATAATTTATTTCCTCCTTTATTTTTCACTGAGGCATAACTTACATACAGTAAAGTGAACAACTCCTTTTTTTTTTTTGG